GCTGGATGTGTAGATTCAACAGCCTTTTGGATAATGAAAACTCCGTGCGACAACTTGAGGCTCAAAGGTGAACTTGTTCACTGGCAGTGTCATTGTTGGCAGAAACAAAAGTCAAAAGACAAAAAGTTACTAACTACTGCATTGGAAACGTTGAAGAACTGCGATATGCACCTATAACCCCTAATTCATAGTTTTCTATTCATATTCTGCACACTTCCTGCGACGAATGTTTGCTCTGAACATTCTTTTTCGACACATAACGGCACGAAAACGTGGCTGAGGACGAACATGCTTTAAACTCAATTGATTGGTCTGGCGTTGTTGCACACGCATCATCTCAAACATTTTTCCACATTGTTTGGTTTTGTGAAATTTTACACGAACTAACGACAGTATTATATAGTACATTGCAATAAAGTACGTAATCCGTACGTCTACGATTTATAAAGTGTTTTTTTCAATTTAGTAGAACTTGACATTAGATGGTCGTTTTGAAATTGTGATATTAAATTGTATAATAACTAATATATTTAATATAATAATCATGTTTCAAGTAAATGTTTATTTCCCCCTCAAGAACTACGATTTCTTGATCCAATATGAAGTGATTATGTTTGGAATGAGGGTTTCCAAAAGAATGTCTAGCTAACTCAATCGTTAAGTGAATGTCGAACATTGAAAAGCGCAGCATGTATTCTAGTAAAACTGTGAACTCCTTTGAGCACAAAATGATTAAATTTCTTGCAGCATGTCAGTTAGAAAATATTACTATTTTGTCTTCTTATATTACATCAAATTCTGGTATTTAATTAAATTAATTTAGAGGTTAATTCATAAGCGGATTGCATAAGTGTAAGTTTTTTAGATTTGCAATAGTATCAATTAAATTGTCTGACAATAGATTTTGCTTTGCAGGCATTAAGACGACCTTTAAAGAAATAATAAAATAAAAGCTAGTCACTTGTACTGCCGCAATTTTACACGTGTTGTTTGCATATGTGTATGTGAAAAGCAATTAAGTGAACAATTAAATGTTTATGCAACAGCTGAGGGGGTGTTTGTACGCTTAGAAATAGAACTTATGCATATAGCCTTAAGTCGACATGAGGATAGCGCTACTTGGAGGGGCTAAAATTATTAAATATATAAGAAATTGAAAATCAAATTCAAGTATATTTAAAAAAATTAACACTGACGATTTTTGTCAAATAATTTTCAACATGCATACTTTATAGTCCAGATAGATAAAAAAACAAATAGTACGATGAAATCCATCAGAAATGAAATATAAAATAACAAACATTGAGGAAAACAAACATTTTCCAATTAATAATTTAAAAGTCCATATTTCGATTGAATACTTCGTTAGACTCACCTTAATGCGCGCATATGGTCTATTCTGTAATTCGACTCTTTAAAGCCGATAGCTGGCAGCTGCTGTTTAAACAAGCGTGTAATGAATCGCAAATCTTTACACAAATATATACAAACCGATTCGCTGTGACTGGATGAAAATGTACAATATATTTATCAGCACACACCCCACATATACCAATATACCAGTACATACGTATACGTTTATTGGAGTACCCGGCTTAAGCCTTTGGCGCTTTAATCGCATTTTGCGCGCCGAAACGTAAACAGTATAAACTAAAACGCTCGCAGCGACGATAATGCGTAGCGATTTGAGTATTAAACGCCAACGGCGTTGCAACATTACTCACTATGGGGCTGTTTGACGCTCAGGCTTGCCCATTTAAATTTCCGTTGCAGGAATTGAATTAATTTCAAATGAAATCCCAATTGCATGTGTGGCACATCGGTTGAAGTGTGAAAAGAATATGACCGCAAGTGATTTGTATGATTTATGTGTTGGAAAATAATTAGAAGCGCATATTTTGCCGATTTGCATACGTGTGAGGTTGAAAAGCAGTTTCAATTAAATAAAGAACATTTTTGAATTGCACATATTTCTGATTTATGATTAACTAACGGCGGTTGAAATTCAATTTGCTGGTTTTCATGGTAGAAATACATTAATTTCATTTAAATTTATTTTAGCGCATAATGGAGTAATGTAAGAAGATAAGTTGAAATCAGATATCCGCACTATCAATGATGCGTTGTTCTGTATTTAAATATGAACTCTCACCACTTTATCTCCGTAAAAAATTAGAAATATTTTAACGTACACATTATATATTGGTTGTCAAAAAAGTCTTGCGGTATTTTTATTGAATTTTCAATTGTTCATAAAATTGGTTACAATAATGCGATTTAAGTCAAATATACGCCGTTTTGTGCGATGACGCGTGCCCAATGAGATTCCAACTTCATAATGCCACTCTCATAGAAGCTCGTTTCCCTATTGGCAAAAAACTCGGAGAGCCAATTTTCACAGGACTCTCTTGTGGCCAACTTCAGGCTACCAAGCGCTTTCGCCATGGACAGAAACAGGTGGTAGTCACTTTTTGCGAGATCCGGACTATACGGTGGATGCACACGAAACTCCCAGCCGAGCTCCCGGAGCTTCTGGCGCGTCACCAAAGATGTGTGTGGCCTGGCGTTGTCCTGATGGAAGACAATTCGGCCTCTGTTGATCAAAGATGGCCTCTTCTACAGGAGTGCTGCCTTCAAGCGGTCCAGCTGTTGGCAGTACAGCTCTCAGCGCCAACTAGCGAAAATATCGCAATACTTTTTTGACAACTTAATATTTGTTATGTGTAACAAGTGATGTCTTTTTTTCATTTTAAAATAGTTGTAAAGAACATCATGTGATGTCAATGTATGAGATGAGCAGATGACAAAACAGTTGTGACGTTATCCGAAACCTGGTATGATGTCCTGGATCTTATGTGATGTTTTAAATATATGTTGTGCTGTGATGTGATTTTATTGTTTCCATATGTTTTCCTTTCTAGACGTGATCATGTGATGGAGTGATGTGGTTTGAAAATAGTTGTGACGTGTCCCGAAATCTTGTATAATGGTCATGGTGTGATGTGATGATATGATGTTTTAATTGAGAATAGTTAGAAACCGAAACTTGGTATGATGTGATGGATTTTATATGACATTACAATATTGATATATTAATAGAGTGTGTTGTTCCAATATAAGATAATATAGTATTATAAAGACGTGATGTGATTATTAATTTAAAAAAAGTTGCGTTGTAAACTGAGGAGTTAGTATAATGTGATGAAAGTTATGTATATCACGTGATATCGAGAGCTGATGGAATGTGTTTATTTTGAAAAGAGTTGTATTTTGAACAGAATAGTTGCTAATGATGGGATATGTGACAGAAAATTGAAGCTTTATATTCTATTCTGTCCTCTACTATATCATACATGGTCACAAAGGTCCAGCATTCTTAACAATTCCCGGAACTTTGTTGGGCATGAGTTAAGTGATGTGATCTCTGTCCACCTAGGCCCTTGCGCCTGCTTCTACAAATTGCTGGGCAATCTAGAATCAGGTGTTCTGGAGTTTCCTGTTCAATGTCGTAAAACCGGCAGTTTACGCAAGAGACTATGCCCATGTTGGACAAGTGCTTCCTGTACGAGCAGCGTTTTGTACCGCCGCACCCACGATTGCAAACTGAAAGGCAATAGGATTTACGATAGTGTTATACAACCATGTTATGATACCTGGATTGCTACCCCAGGATCTACCGGCTAGTCGTCTGCATATCATGAGTCTCTTCGTGGCTTTGAACAGTGTTAATTCCACGTGCTTATCCCAACGTATGGTTGTGACTAATGTGAGGCCAAGGAATTTGATCTCTTTAGACACCTCCAATTCTCTACCACCGAGTGTTTGGGGTCTTAAGTCCGAAAGAGATCTTCGATTTTTGAAAGAACAACGGTTGTTTTTGATGTGATGATTGTGAGGTTATAGTATGTATCATGTGCGGGCATGCTACGAAGTGTTATGGTAGTCTATGACAGAATAACTTGTGGAAGTTATTTGAGCTGTGGTAAAGCCAAGTGATATTAATGTAAGGAAGTCATGATATAGTATGACGTTATGATGAAATAAAGTCATTTGATAATTTGGAATTACTGAAATTGGTGTTGTTATTTAAGTTGTTTAAGTCTTAGCAAGACATGTATAATATAAAGGGGTGACATGTTATGATATGTTATAAAATGATCTAATAAAATATTAAGTTGTGGCTTGAAGTAACTATTTTATGATGTGATATGGCATATAGTATTACGTTTTCACTGATGTTTACTTCTGATGTGAAGCAGTGTTTTGCTATTAAGAAATGCCATGTAATGAGATGCTATATTACTATTACTAATTTGCTATACAAACTGGGGATATAAAATATGTTATGAAGATAAAATTTATAGAAATACGCGGTTCTTGAGACCACAGTAGACTAAGCATGATTTTTGAAGAAAATGGCCTTGAGTTATGGAGCAAGGTACAATATAACTCATTTCATCGCAAAGTGCTTCTGGTTTAGATAAATCAAGTATATACTAACGATTTCACGCAGTTTAGAAAAAATACTCAGATAGTATTAGGTATAGATAAAGTCAAGTTGCTTTGGCCATCAATTTGTGGAGTAATTACAAAGGCCAACATTACAGTAAACTAAACGATTAGAAGCGGCAATTATGTATGTACAGTTCTAATCAATTGCCGCTGGCATTATCTAATTCTTATCGCTTAATTTGAGGACGATTATCTTTTACAAAGTGATTAAATTGTAATATTTAAAAATTAAGAATAATATTTATGAGCTTTTCAATGGAATTGGAAATAGGACAACAAAGGCAACAATATCGACGAGTATTTCCATAATACAATGTGCTATATGATAAACTGTAGAACTGCAGTTAATGCAGGAAAACGATTTTTTCTAAACCGCTTTTATTGGTATCGTAAAAAGAAAAAACTTTGCACTGCAAAAACCTGATATTACTTATACTATAAAACTAAACTGCATTCCGTCAACGAGAATAGTTTCACGACAACCGCGTTTGAAGTGTGTGGCATTAATCGTTTGCGGCATTTCTAACAACCCTTTCTAAGTGCAAACAATAGTCAGAGCAATGCAAATATTGCAAAAACTGGCATTGTGCCTCTTAGCGAGCACCTGCTTGTGTGTACCGACAGATAAACTGCTGCGCAGCACTGAAATCAAGCTGTTGGAATTAATGAAGGACACACGCGCTGAGCAACGCGACAATCCGGAACAAAGTCTGGCTTGTTTCGAATACTATCTAAAGGTCTTCGAGCAGCTGAACGTGGAGTATCGCGAAAGCTATGCGGCATGCTTGGCTACAGCGCGGCATAAGCGCGATCAGATAGATGAGAGCACACAGCCTGAGCGCGACGCTATTGAGGAGTCGGCGCTCTCGACATGCACGGCACTGAAGGGATGCGCGCAGTTGGCCGATTCAGTTCTCTATTTCAATTGTTTTGCGATTAATGTAAGTAGTTTATGTGAAACGTCTTAAAATGTATGAATGAGTGCATACAGTGTTGTGACTTCTTCTCCTTTGTGCAGGGCAAGCAAGGTAGCGAAAATATGTACAAAATTTCAGCGGATGCCAGTGAGACGCTGGCAGAAGTAAGCGAACAATATCGTTTGATCGAAACTGAGGAGCACCGTTGTACGAATGCCACAGGTCGCGTCTATGTGGAAAAGTCCCATCAGGCTAGTGAGGATTTGTCGAGCTGTCTTCGTGGCGAAATAACTGTACCCTCACCAACGTCCACTGCATCGACGCCGCCCAGCGAAGACTCTAGCACAACTGGACCGGGCATGAATTGGAAAAGTGACCATATTTCTGATGATGAACTTCTGCTTGCAATTGATTCACATGATGTGAGTGCATATCGCAAGCCAAACGGCACATAAATAGTGAAATTAAAATGTGGATATGTCTTATTTAATTCGGTATAACCCTTATAGCACTTATGAGTATGACGCGTAAACCAATTTAATAAGATTTTATGAAGCTTTTATTACTGAAATGATTTGCTGAAAGAAACCACGTATTAGAAAGTATACTTTGTATACATTGTGTGTAGTAGAGAGTTAACTTGAAATACATTTTAGTGTACCATATGTAAATTTTGTAGTCAAAAACTAAAAGCGTTGAAAACCTTAATTAACAAAATATGGTATCCTAATATAATGAGCATGCGTCGCTGTACCCATGGGTACAAACCTATAGGACCGGTGAAATATTTTTCAAGCAGCCCACATTTCATCAAACAAGACTTACGACAAGAAGAAAGTTTTCTGGTTTCAACAAATAACATTATTTCTGTAAGAATACACTTAGAAAAGGTCCAGAAAAGTATTTCCAAAGACAAACTAGGACTACTTTTGGTAGTCTGTATTCCTTCCCTCAGATTAAAGATTGCAGGTTCTACTTTGCTTCGGTGACCATTGCTAACTTCTACTCTGACAAGTACGCTATTAGGCTTTTATATTAGGCTAATGTTGTATACGGAAATGTGAGTTAGGTGAGCGTGTATTAGAAAAAAATATATTGCAAGGCATATCTCGACTTCTTACTTGAGGTCTCCAGAAAGGAGTTTCTTATACTGCGGACAAGCATTCGAAATCCTTATATAAAAATTTTTTCAACAGGGATGCCAAGAGTAGACCAATAGGGACACCAAACGAAGTCATATTTTTCCCGCTCTTATGACATTTCTTTTCAGTAATGTATGCCATTTAATCATGAAAAGTATACCTTCCAAAAACGAGACGAAATTATTAAAATTTACTATCGAATCCGACCGAATTTACTACCGGAAATTTTAAAAGCGCTACGTCCAATTTATGGACATCCTGCCGATCAGCAATTGAGTGTCTAGTGGAAAAATTTGAATCCAAAGGCACAATACAAAATGTTTCTGTGTCATTGAATCAAAGAAGTGGACATCTCGGCATCGATTGTGAAAAATTTTGCGAATTTGCGAAGAACTTGGGCTAACAGGACCACATTGACGCAAGAAATGGAGCCGTTTGACAATCAGAATCGATGTTCGTGTTCGTGATTTTGGTGGAGCAACAAATTGAAAGTTATCCGAATTTTCATCGAAAAATCATCTTCAGCGATGAGGCTCATTTCGGCCTGAATGAGTTCGTCGGCAAGCAAAATATGTGTTATTGGTCAGGCAGCAATCCACACGTGCTCCATGAGTCACCATTGTATCGCGAATAAATTACGGTTTAGGGTTTATGGGCATGCGGCATCATTGGGCCGTACTTCTTCCGTGATAAGCAAGACCGCCACGTTACTGTGAATGGGAGTCGCTACCGCTCAACGATAATCGAATAATTTTGGCCCGAATGGGATGATATGGGCTTGGACAATATGCGGTTCAAACAGGACGGCGCCCCAAACCACACAGCGAATGTCAAATTCGATTTATTGAAAAACAAAATTGCTAGGCAGTTTGTAATACCCATAAAGAATATGTACATATGTATACACAAATGATCACCAAGACAAACTGAGTCGATTTAGTCGTAGTCGTCTGTCTGTACATACGCAGGTACCTCAATTATATGATGAGATGAGATCGATCTGAGATTTTGATCACAGTTTTTTTCCTTAGAAAGCTGCTTCTTTGTCGGAACCACCGATATTGAGCTACTATAATGTATAAGGTGCGTTCCAAAGTTAATCTAGCGCCCTCTGGTGGCGCCATCTCTATCTCGACTAGTGCGTTAGAATCAGCTATCTTTATCGATTGCACAGTGAGAATTTCATGGCATTTCATTGATTGGAAGTGAGGATATTGCATTTTATGTGTCAGTATGTTTGTGTTATCGGTGTGAAAATGAGCTTTGAACAAAAAGTCAACATTAATTTTGATTAAAAGTTGGTAAAACTTTTAACGAAATATTTCCATTGATGAATAAAGTTTATGGCATTGATTGCCCATCATGTAGCAGCGTGAACGAGTGGTTTCAATGTCTTTAAAATGGTCGTGAGGACATAAATGACGATCGACATGTGGGCCAATCAAAATCCGTGATCACCGGAAATTCCATCGAAATTCATAAATGCGTGAATTCATAAAAAATCAGTCGAAATCATAATTGAAATTCATGGCAATGGAATTGAATAAATATTTTGAATAAAATAAATTGATTTTGTCGAAAAAAACTATTTGTGTTTTAAGTCCTGTTTACTTTGGAATGCTTTTCGTTTTACTAGATTTGGCATTAAGTAGTTCAAACCGCGAAGAAATCGATCAGATCGATTCACTACAACATATAGCTGCAATACAAACTAACCGATCAAAGTCAAGTTCTTGCAAGTAATCTATTGTATTTTAGAAGAGTATTATAGTGTAACCAAAGCAAACATTTTTTTCTTATTTTTCCTGTCTATTTTTGTTACTTTTGTTTTCATTGCCAGCTATATAGACAAGCCTTTTTGCTCTCGAGTTAAAAATATAATAGAAAATATAATAAGTTAGGAAGAATATGCAAAAGAGTAATATAATTTGGATACACAATCTTCTGTGGTGAATCAATAAGCTAATCAAACCATAGAACGAGTTAAATGAAGACTAAAAATGAGAGACCTCATCTTCAGAATACTTGCAGACTCTGCAACTTTAAAGCTAATCATTGTGATAACAAATAGTGTAGGAATAGGTGAGTGAATCACCTTCGTTCCTTGGGATCAAGAAAATAAGTTCGCTGATTCGCTTATTATTTTGAAGGTAAGGCTACAACTCAAGTATGTATATAAAAATTATAGAGTATTGTGAACTGTGAAGTAACCCACCTTTTGTTCACCTTAATTTCTTGCAATGAACGCAAATGCGTTTGAGTGACACATGTGTTTTTGAACAAACACGCACACATACACACATGCACGCATTTGAACACACTGACATACATACATACGCAAATTTACATTTTTTAGTTTCATAGCTGCGAGCAGTGCGTATATTTGCTTCGTAGAAGTTGAAAAAAACAAAAATAACAATTACAAAAACACTCAGTCACACAAGAAAACACACACAAACACATATCCGTCAACAATGTAAACAACTTCGCCACCAAAGGCATTTTTTCTACACTTTTTCTCTCGTTCACTCGTTCTCTCTCTGCCCTTCTTTGTGTTTGTGTGACAGGTGCGTGCAACACTTGTCAGGCGGAGGTGCGTTTTTGAGCAAACAAATCTTTGTGCGCGTTTTTTTCGCCGCGCATAATTTTGCAACGGTGTCTGTTACAGCCGCCGTCTGACATATGCCTTCAACCGCCAGCGGCCATTGCATGACAATCACAGCGATCCTTCTGCCATTCTCCACCAGGAATTCTAGTGGCACCGCCGGCTTGTTGTTGCTTTGGCATGATGCGTGTAAAGTGTGTCTTGTTCACAACTACGTTATACTTTTTTCTTGTTGCAACGCCACACCGACAATGAGCGACAAGTCACACTTTGGCATTCGGCGCTTTTGTGCAACGCCAGCGCGACTTTTTGCAAGATTTCAAGTTGCATATTCCATTTTCTGTTCTCTGTTGTTTTTTGCTTACCATATTTAAACTTTATATTTGCATTCATGTGCAGCGGTGCTTTCTCAAGCATACATTTGTTATATGCTTCCTAAAGCTCGTGTAGTGTCTTTTCGTGTGCTTGTTGTTTTTGTATTTTTTGTTGACTTTCTCTGTGCGCATATAATGGAAAATTGATGGCGCCATCGTCATTGTCATCATCATCAACATCAAATTCATGGTGTTCGTAAAGCTTCGACATATCAAAATTTGTCAATCTGCCAGCGGCGCTCAGGCGCATGCGCGCTGACAGTAAACGAGTTCCGATTTTTGTTTTTCTATTTTCTTTTTTTTTTTGAAAATTGATGGCTTTTCTCACAGCGTTTGCATCTGAAACGCTTGTTACCATATACGCAATGTGTTTTTGATGGACTGAAAGCCAGATTTCAATTGAAGTGAAACGCTTTTGCTTCGTTGAAGCGAACTCTCAAGGACTTTGCTAAGTTTGAACTCGCCAGCGCGTTTCTGCGTATTTGTGATGCATGAAACGCTCATTGTCTTTGGAATGAAGTGTCGCCTTAAATGTGAGCGAGCGTAGAAGCGAATGCAGAAAACAAAAGATGAAGAACCTTTCAGTGACAAAAAAAATAATAAAAATTCAAAAGAGTGAATGAAACACTGCATGAAAATTTGGTTAGCATTAGAGAGATAGCTCTAGATCTAAGTATATCTTATGGATCGATTCAACATATTTTTGTTAATTTTTTGAGCTTGAAGCGTGCCCATACTAGACTCGTAACTAACATTGGAAAAACCCAAAAGTGCACTTTTTTATATGTGCGGTTTAAAGTTTGATGAAACGTGGACAAGATCCCACATTCTAATTATATGCATACATTTCCAAAATTAAGGGCGCTATGTACAGTAGAATCGGTGAAAATATTACTTCTTACTTACCCTTGTAGTTTATGTACGTTTTACTATCGAAATGTTATAAAAGCTTCCCAAATCGATGTGCATAAAAATTAGGCATGGTATCGCGATCTTTCAAAAGGAATTCCATATTACGCAGAACCGTTTGGAACGAAATTAAACTGTAATATGCTCGGTATATGGTCCTGGTACATATAGTATTCCATTGAAAAAACTCCATTCTTTTCTTTATACATCGATAGGAATGAACCTGAACTATCAGTATATCAAATGATCAGTAGGAGGGGCAAAAAATTTTGAATTGAACGTTTTTCGAACTTCCGGAGAGAGGATGTTTTACTGATAACAGTGTAAAAGAAAGAAATTTGAGCGAAAAACTTAAACGAGCAACCATATCACAAATGTATAACATCGGAGTAATGGTATGTAAGTACCTTAATTATTCTTAGGGAACATTGTATATGCATTCATGGTATGTAGTATTGACAAAAATAGATAGAATCGAGACTCAACACTTATATAATACAAACTATTGTGATAAAATTTAATGGTGAATTTTGTCCATTTCATGCTCTTCGAAGTAATTTCCTTCCGCTGCAATATACTTATGCCAACGTCATCATAGCACTTAGGAAAATACACCGTCGTGATGGCCATCAGAGCCGTTTTCAATTCAGTTTTTGTACCCACAATTGAGTCAAAACG